AATTAGAGACTTTTCTTTGTTGACTTCTTCAATCATCCAATCGACTGAAAGAGATCTGCCTCCTCCCAATCAAGTTCCCACACTACAATTTACTTTCTCTTTCAATAATTTGTTTCATTCGGATAGGCTGTAAGTCACAATTCGGAAGGAAAGATCTGTCACTAACTTAGTTTCATCGTGACTAGGATGTCATCAGATTTCCATAAAATTAATGTTTAACAACAGAGATTTTTTGAAAATACACGACAAGAGGTAGAATTATGGAGAGGTAGATTATGGAATAATAAGACTAATAATGTTACATGTGCAAATTTGAAAAACATAAACTGAGAACTCAGTCTTTATCATTTTTTTTTTCCCACAAGGCAGGATTTCTGGATATTACAAGTAAATAATACAAGTTATGGCCGTTTTTAAATGAAAAAAAGAAAGAATTAAGAGTAAAACTGGTTCCCAGTTCAACATTTAAATAAATGTTATGAAAAACATCAAGTTGATATAATCCATTTAAACAATAAATATATTACTCATGTATATATATATATATATATATATATATATATATATATATATATATATATATATATATATATATATATATATATATATATATATTCTCATCCCCCTAGTCACAGTACATTGTTATATATTTCATAGTTTTTCACCAAAGGCACTTTTGCAGTAACCGTCCTCAGCACTGTTACAGCACTCTGCTCTAAAACTCCCACAACTCCACAGTACGGTAAGTTCCGTTAACAAAGTTTATGCTGACTTTCTTTTGGTCTTTGACATCAGTAGAATTCAATTAGGTATTCCGGATAGATCTGGTTGCTGTCGAATATAACGAAGATCTTAGGGTTTATCATGTCATCCACACAGCTGTCGAAAAAGTTGGCAATGCTCGTGTCTTTAGAAGGAGGTCTGCAGTACTGGGGGTGACCCAGTGTGTATTCCCCAACTAGAACCCGGGCCAGGAACATGCACTTGTAAGGCGGGTCACTCTGGAAAATAGCGGGTGCCATACCATGTCTCTGTAGGATAAAATTATGCTTGCTAGTCGAATGGCAAAACTTGCTGGAATATCTTGCGTCGCGTGCAAAATAGCTTCCTGTGAAGACAAAAAATGTATGTATACAGTGTAAAATGTTTCTATAATGACATTTAAACAGTAGTAAAATGTTTACAATTAACCAAAGTCCCTTTAAGACGAGTCAATTGACTTATGACATAATAGCGACTTTTTATCTCATAATTAAGACAAAAATGTGAATAGCGATAAAGAGCGACTTTTTTGACATTATGACTTATGTCAATTTTTAAACGTGTATGTCATGATTACAGCTCATCTCATTATTTTGACTTAAAAGCATGTTTTTTTCATATGTGGAAGAAATGGGCTTCCATATACAACATATTTAAAAATGTAGTCTAAATATGTACATTTTTATAAAAAGTCATTATTTACATTACATCATGTCTTTCGAAATCTGTATTTTTTTTTTAAATGTGGAAATAAAATACATTTTTAATTATTTATACACATATGTTTAAGCTGTTCTTTTCCACAGAATGATAATGGACGGTGACCATGGCAGATTTTCAGTGAAAAAGTTAACACAGTTATAATTTCAGGACACTGGATGTATGAATTACTTTTTTTTTTTCATGCTTTTTAGAGCTTGACAGCCCTATCCACATCCACTCTGTCACTGTGTATAAAAGAGCAGCGTGAACATTCTTCAAAGCGTCACTTTTTGTGTTCAATGAAAGATATAAGTCATACAGGTTTGGACTGACATGAGGATACATGATGACACAGTTGTCGTCTTTTGTGAATCATCCCTTTAATGCAAAAAGACTCATGGACTGTACCTTTGCCATAGACGTCACCATGACTTCCTGTGAGACGCCAATCAAAGTTGTATGTACATATGGCCTGTATGTTACTGTGGCCAGTTCCGTGAAATAGCATCTTTTCTTCAACATTTACTGCATGTTTTATCTTTCTCAGCTGGGCCTTTTTCCTGTAATATATTTGCATTTTTTTTATAATATATTTTAAAATATATATGTGTTAAATATTTAAATTCAAGTTTGATTCTATCATAAATGAAATGGTCAAAAACATTTAAATTGAAAATGAATAACACTTTATTTGCTTAGAAACCTTGTAATAAGTGTGATATGCAGACAGTGATTCATTATTGCAATATAAACCTTTTCAGGTTTGTTTTAAATATTGGAAAATGAGTCAACCTGCAGAAAAACTCCCACAAATCCAGGTTCTGTATTCTCTGAATGGATCTGATGGACTGGCTCATGGTTCTCTCATATAAACGGGCCACTTCTTTGTACTCAAACGTATCTCTGCATAGAGCAATAAGCTGGAGAGAAACAGTCACAGTCAAACAACAACAACATTTATTCATAAAGCACATAATTATATATGTTGGTGCATAGCCAGACAACGCCTCATATACAAACATGAGAATTTTTTAAATCAACCCTGAATTTAATGGGAAGCCAGTGGAGGGATGCTAGAATTTCCCCTATTCTAGCATTCCTCCATCCATCCAATGTATTTTATGCATTTCCATAAAACATCAAAAGAAACAGCGGTGTCAAGGCTTACTGGAAGGTAAAACTGAGAATTGTCATTATAACAGTGATAAGGAATGTTGTATTTCTGAAAAATGTAGGCCAAAGGAAGCATATAAAGGGAAAACAATAAAGGTCCCAAAATTGATCCCTGAGGCACACCACAATCTAATTAACAAAAAAAGATTATCCTCTAGGTAAGATGCAAACCACTGTAATAAAGTGTAGTGCAGTTAAAATTCATTCTGTGTCATTAATTTAACATTATCTTTTTTTTTTTTTACCTGATAGGGTTCCTCTGTATTAACTCTTTCCCAGTGACTGGGTACAGGAAGAGCTGGGTTATCGCAGATAAATCTGTGAAACAAAATTAAAAAATACTTTTTTTTAATTGAATGTAATAAATAATACAAATGTATAATATAAAACATTACAATATAAATGTTATAATAATCAAATCTGTATAAATGAGCTTACCTAAAGTCAGTAGCTGAATGCAATGCCCTTTTGATTGGCCTTTCTTTTCCAGTAGTCACATTGACTTGTTTCATAGCTAGTGACATGATAAGAGTTGAGAAAATGACAGTAAAGATGCATATCACAGCCCTCATGTCATTTATTACCACAAATCTTGAAAACACAAATCTATGCTTTGCTTGGTAACTGACCAGAAAAGTCTAATTTATAGGTATATTTAGCAGTATAGAAGTCCATTGAAGCATGCAGATTCTTGCAGTAGTATTGTTCAATTTGCTCATTGGTGACAGAACACCCTGTGCTCGGAACTTCCTGTAGTGAAAAGGAAAACAGCATGATGTGATCAGCAAAAAGGCAACTTTGCCATTCATATTAGTCGAATCTATCAGACTGCAGTTTTATAAAGCGCAGTACATACTTCAAACATGTGCCAGACGCCACACTCTGCAAGGTAAAACCAGTGCCACTTTGTCTCTGATGTGTCCATTTCCTCCTCACATGATTCCTCATCAGGAGGCTTCTGGAGGACCCCTGAGCTCTCCAGATGTTTTTCAGTAGCCACACAGTGCATCTGTAAAGCAAATACACAAATATGACCATTTGGTAAACTTTCAAGTGTATGACAACATGCTTCATTAATAAGCAATTATTCATCTGAAACAATTATTCAATCTGTTTGATTTCACAGGACGGGATCTCATTCAAACTATATATTTTGTAACTAAAACATGCTGGAATGATCAACTATAGTTATACTTTCTAATTATGTTGACTTGGTGTCAGTGATGTAAATGTCACACAATTTAGCGTCGGTCCAGACCATCCATATACTCATCCATTCATAAATCTTTCGTTTTGAACTATTTAAATCTTTCAGACTAGGCTTTCTCCAGCCTACATAAACGTTTATTTACAAAATGTACTCATGTAATTCATCTAATTTGATTTTACCGGTCGCGATCTCATTAATAAGGGATATTTGTTTACTAAAACATGCTGCAATGATAACATATAGATACTTCTTGCATTTAATAGTATGAATGTATTGTGAATACCTTTCGAAAAAGCCTCGTTCCTCTTGTTGTTTTGAACAATGTCGATTTCATCTAAATTCGTGCAACATTGTTTTTTTGTCTGATTACTGGTTCTGTTTCGTTTTCCTCAATCTCTTGTTGTTGTGCGCTCCACTTCCGCATTCGCAGCTGTGACGTCATGCGTCCTTCAACTACTAACATTATTGAATAATAATACCCAACCTAAAATAAATAATTAAAAAATAAAACCGAAGGAGATACATGAATTAGAAAATGCAATAAAAGTAATTATAATAATAAAACCGTTATGGATTCATTTCTTTTGCATTTACGTGTCACAGCAAGGCCTTACTAAAAAGTTTCAGAACTCAAAACGTCCTCGGCAGTTCAAACATTATTTTCAAACCCACCACATCCTTCAATGTTATTTTTTACTCCATTATAAAAAAAAAATACACCGAAATCAAATATCGTAATTTTTATTTATTTGCAACACATTTCATTTGTCCTAATCGTGACCTTTTTGTTTGCCAACAAGCAGCAGTAATAAAACATTAATTCATTTTAACTTCTATATTTTGACAAAACGTCATTACCATAATTAATTGCGCATTCAGCTGGTGATTAGCGGCGGGGTCAGGGGGTACGAATTGCTGTGATAATAGTCTATGTTGGCTGCAATGGAATCGCACGACGAATGAGAATACACTGGAACAGATTTAATGATAGATGAACATCCATCCATCTATCCATCCGTCCGTTTATTGATCTATCTGTGCTATAGATAGCCCATATACTTTGGCAAGAAGTGTGTTTTCACATGGCTGTACGTCCCGCCCTCTCCCACTCCTCATCGCGTGCAGAACTCAAGAACACTGCACTCTGCACAGCCGTTCTGTGTGCATGTCTGATAGGGAGCTGTTCACAAACTTTGGTAAGTCCAAGGACTTTTTTTTTAAAAATTCGGATTTTTAATTATGATCCATTTAAAACTGTTTCTGCTATGTATCATTTCTCTTTGTAGAGTGAGATTTATTTAATAATTCCATAAACATTCCTTCACTGTTTGTCCACTTCCTGACAAACGATCTGTAGGTAGCCTACTGTACAAAATAAAAAATATTAAGTTGTAAATGTGAGTTCCATGACTGAATTGAAGCATCTATGATTCATTAGTTAAAAGCAAAAACATAATTCTTTCCAAAAACTCACTTTTCTGCATGCTGATGGACTTTTAATAACTTGCACTAAACTGAATGCTCACAGAGAGATAAATATAGAAAAGGTCCATGGAGGAGACTAGAGACGGAGGCATTGCTGATGGGGAAGCTATGGAGCCCGAGGCTCAGAAAGGGAGTGCAGAAAGCAGACCCCAGGCCAGGGAGAAATGGGCCAACAAGACTGAGTTCCTGCTGTCCATGGCTGGAGAGATTATCGGCCTGGGGAACGTGGTGCGCTTCCCTTACCTGTGCTACAAAAACGGAGGCGGTAAGAGAACGTTTGTGAGAGAGAGAAGGTTGGAAATTAGGGATGTTAAAGAAGTGTATGATAGAAATAAAGAAATAAAAAAGAGGCATTAAGCCTGCAGTGTTTTGATCCCCTGCACCATGAGATGGATTTGACCTTAAATTCCAGCAGAAGCCCATGCTATAACATAATCAATAGAGCTCTGTGTTCTTCAGAAAATGCTCAGAACTAATTTCTGCTACACATCATGGACTGTTTCCCCGAGCACATGCTGATCCAACTTTTTTTCTTCCCTCTTTTTGCTTTTATTGGTGCTTGCAAACAAAACATCACTATTACCATTGTATTTTATTCAAATGCCTAACTCTATAAATTAAAAAGTGCTACGAATATTGTTATTATTAATTTGAATTTTCATACTTATATTTTAGCCGCCTAGATTGCAGATCTGCATACTCTGGCTTCTCTCAACTAATTCATACAAATAAACAAAAACATAAAATAATGTCTTATTATTATTATTATTATTATTAATAAAAATAATAATTTGTAAAAAAAAAAAAACATCCTTTAGAATAAATGTTTTTTTTACCATCTACCCTTAAGGTCCTTATTCACATGTGATCCAGAGAAGCTACAGTATGGTGAACATGATTTATTTGATGTTCTGTTACAACCCTTAAATATAACAGCAACAAGACTTTTGAGCCTTTAAGGTAAATAACTAACACATTTTTGGTCTCTCCAGGTGTTTTCTTCATTCCTTATTTCATCTTTCTCTTCTTTTGTGGAATCCCAATATTCTTCCTTGAGACGGCGTTAGGTCAATACACCAGTGAAGGGGGCATCACTGCTTGGAGAAAAATCTGCCCCATGTTTGAAGGTGACTTATGATTTCATAAACGGATCTACACAATTAAGTCCATGGGCCTTATCATACACCCGGCGCAAAGCTTGCATCGCGCAAGTGTTTTTTGCTAGTTTCAGCCCAACGCAGTTATCATTTTCATGCGCTTTAGACCATGTGCTTAGATCGTTAAAATAGGGCCCCATGGTTTTAATTGTTGTAATTTATGGTGATGAGTGATTATTATTTTGCACATTTTCTCACACAAACTACTTTTCATTCACAGGCGTAGGTGTTGCGTCCCAAGTTATAGTGATTTATCTAAATATATATTACATTGTGATCCTGGCCTGGGCTTTGTTTTATCTATTCAACTGTTTCTGGAGTACTCTACCTTGGACTTCCTGTGACAACTATTGGAACACAGGTGTGTTATGTAATGCATTTATAAACTTTATTCATATGGGCTTAAGACACTGAATAACTGTCAAGCCCTAACCCAAAATAACCTAAACTGAATAACCCTAACCCAATGGCACAAATATTGCAGCTCTCAATACAGGAATATCAACAAATGCTTTTTGTTTAGTCAAGCATCAGTGCTATTGATCATACTGCAGAATTTCACAACTTTTGATTTGTAGTTCATTCCACACTGTTTGTGCTGACATGAATGAGACTTCTCATTGTGCAGTTTGTTGAGGAAAATTAGCACTTTTCTAAATAATCTATGAAAGAAATGTTTGTGAAATGCATCGGCGTAAAAAATGAAATAGTTCATTGTGAGTGTTCAAAAAAAAAAAAAAAAAAAAAATGATTGCAAGAGGAAAAGTGTTGAAGGTATAAAGATGCAATTATGTAAAATAAATGTGCAATTATGAGAAATTGTAAGATATAAAGTCACATTGCAAGAAAAAGTTGCAATTGTGAGATATGAAGTCACGTTGTAAGATATAAAGTTTCAATTACAAGAAACAAAGTCACAATTATGAGAAATAATGTTGCAATTACGAAAAACAAAGTCATAGTTACGATAAATAAAATCACAACCATGAGAAAGTCAATTACTTTAAATAAAGTTGTAATTGTGAGCTAAAAAAAATTGCAATTACAAAAAAATGGTCTCAATGAGAAATAGTCACATTAGAAATAGTCACAATTTCGAGAAGCAAAGTGTAAGACATATAGTCACAATTACAAGAAATAAAATCATAAGTTTTACAATAAGTTGCTATTATGAGAAATACATTTGCCTTTGAGATATAAAGTCGCAGTTACAATAAATAAAGTTACAATTACAAGAATTAAGGTTGCAATCATGAGAAAAAAGAAGAAAAAGGAAAAAAAATCGCAATTGTGAAATATGAAGTCATTGTTCTAGAGTTGCAGTTGTGATATGTGATATCACATTACAAAAAAATAGTCACAATTACGAGAAACAAAGTCATAGTTACAATAAATAAAATCACAATCATGCGAAATAGTCAATTACGTAAAATAAAGTTGTAATTGTGAGATAAAAAGTTGTAATTACAAAAAATAGTCTCAATGAGAAAGTCACAATTTGTAAGAAGTTGAATAAGACATATATATATATATATATATATATATATATATATATATATTAGACATATAACACATATAGACAATAATACAAGACATATAGTTACAATTACAAGAAAAAGTCGCAATTGCAAGTAAAGTCGCAGTCACGAGAAATAAAGTTTCAATTCTGAGACAGTCACAATTACATGAACCAAAGATGAAATTTTCACGAAATAGTCACAATTACGTAAAACTGATTTTCATCCCGAAATTACTTTTGAGTTCACTTTGATCTCCCATTTTATCAACAGTGTACTGCCAAAATATAAGTGCTGCATACACAGGTGTGCACAGACCTGATGCTGACTGGTCTTTCCTGTACAATGAGACGTATAGATTTGGTGACAACAACAGCATGAGGTAACCTCACTTAACAACAGAGTACAAAGTAAAAACCAACACTATCTCACGACCTCACTCGTACGATTTGTCTAAACCCCAGTGATGGGTAGGTTTAGGGGCAGGGTCAAGGGTAGGTCAATCGTACGAATTCATACTAATTCGGCAACTTGTAAAATATGTACGATTTAGAAAAAATCGTACGAGTGAGGTCGTATGAATTCGTACGAATTATCCACCTCCTAAAATACGTACGAATTGCCGTGAGATGGGGTTGATAAAAACACGTGCATTGTCGGTTGTTCTCCCAGATGTTTACATGGTCATGGAAGATGTTCTTTGAGTTCAGGCTTTAGATGATTACAAACACACTTGTAAGAAAAGTTCCCTTAACCAAGTCCCTTTTGTAATGCATTTAGAAAGAATGATTTATTCTTTGTTTGGACTTACAGGAAAATGAAAAGAATGCCATTGAAAGGCTTTGGTGAACTCACTCTCTTTTTGTCTTTCTTTCATCAGTTTCCAAAATGAATCAGAATGGCCTGCTTTTTCAGTGACCTCCTCCGAACAAGAGTACTGGTTGTAAGATACATCATTTCCTAAACATATCAAATACTGTACACAAATTTCTTTGGTTCTCAGCAACCTAAATCTATCTTCTGGATTTATGCATGTAAAAATTAATTAATATCCTACATTTATAGTACATAATAGTATACTACATATTTATTGTAATGATATAGTATCTATATAAGGAGGAAACTGCACATTTTCCATTTTAACTATGTTGAACTTGCTTTAGTGCAAGTCAGCTACTTTAGAAACTGTTTGGTAATGTCAGAAAATTCACATAATTTAGTGTTAGTCTTCTCCCATGTCCTGGACTATGTGAGATAACCCCTGCCCTTATAAAGGGTGGGACAACATGAAAAACATCCAACATCTGTGAGACAAAGACCAAGTTTCATCATGCAGACATGGGATATTAAGAACTGAGCCAGAGAACTTGATGAAAACAACATGTTTATAGTTTGTGCAGTTTCCTAAACTAACCCCCACAAAACTAAATCACAGAAAAAATAAATCTGTATCTAGCATATAAATCTAAAACGTTGAGTTTTGACATGCGTGGAAGTAAAAAGAAAATGTGTTGTTCATAATGTGTGTGTGTGTATGTGTACCCTCAGCCGTCGTATGTTGCGGGAGACAAACAGCGGTGGTCTGGGGAGTGTAAATGCTGATCTTTCTATGTGTCTTCTGTTGGCTTGGGTCATCTGTTATTTCTGCATCTTTAAAGGAGTGAAGACCACAGGCAAGGTCAGCTGATGCTCATGCGTGTACAACTGTTTGCTAATGAAATAACCAAGAGAAAACAATGTCACATTTTGTACTCATAAACAAAAACTAGCTATGAAAACCCATAGACTTACAGAAGGAGCTGAGGCTTATCTAGGGACCAAAATCTATGGACTCTTTTGAGAAACCATTCATAACACACTAGCAATGAACACACGTACAACCAACTAGTACTGTAGCATGCTAACAGTCATTCAAAACATTTTAGCAACAGCATAGTAACACTCAAACCACCCAACAATGTACTATCAAACTAAAAACAGCCCAGAACACCTCAACAACCGCATAGAAATACCATAGAAACTTCTCAGAACAACCTGCAGTATCGCAGCATGCTAAAACAAAACACCTTAGCAAACAACTAGCAACCACCAAATATCTTAGCGAGCACATACTATAGCAACATTCTAGATAGCACATGTACGGTATGTGACATTACAAGATGTCTGTTAAAGAGTGCGTTTCATCTGGAAAGCCTCTGTTGTGGACAAACATCTGATAAAAAAATACATTTTTATAAATTACAAATAACATCCGAGAGGAAAGGTTTTAGAGATGAGCAAATGCTCTGAAAATTTCATTTTCCAAATAAAACATGCCTCTGCAATGTCGGTCTGCTTATCAGGAATGCTAAAACCACTCAATATACCTTAGAAATGGCAAAGTAATGACAACCACCCACAAATGCAGCCTCAATCTGTTGCGGTGCGACATAACGCAACAGCGGTCGCGCCAAGTGTAGACACGGTGTTAACACTGCAGAAAGATCACTAGAAGTTCATAAAATGGGACTTGAGTATTATATTAAAGTCTCTTAATTATTGTGATATGTACGTCAATGTTTCACAGGTTGTGTACTTCACTGCTACGTTCCCCTACTTAATGCTGTTCATCCTTTGCATCAGAGGAGTGACTCTGCCAGGGGCTGCAACTGGGATTTCATATTACCTGTATCCTGACATCAGTAAACTCTCCAGTCCTGATGTAAGTGGAACACAATTCCTGCATCCCAATCCGCATGCTATCCACCCTAAATAGTGTCTGAGATTAGAATTAGTATGTCACAAATCATGGTATGTTGAAATGAGTATCCCAAAGATACTCTAATGCAGGACTGGGCAACTCTGGCCCTCAAAATCAATGTTCCTGCAGGGAACTGCTCTGTGCTATTGTGTCTCTGGATGGGACCACACGGTCATGTAACATCTGCGTGAAATCAGGTCTCATTCCCTACCACATGAAAGCATATTTACACTCTCTGAATTATTCAGACCCTCTTCTGGTCACGGTCTTGGCTGGTCTCAACTTCAGCACTGAAGTTGTGCAATCATTATGCAAAATAAACAGGAACAATTCCCTGCATGAAAGACCCACATTTTCATATTTGGTTGGGAGAAATTGTTAGGTAGTGTAAATGAAATGAGGAGTCTGTATGAGGATTTTAATTGTGACAAGTTGACAGAGCCTGGATGGACGCAATTTTATGACGTGTAGTATGTCCCAAAACTTGCCTTCTCTTCTGCTACACGCAATTACGATGCTCATTGGAAAAATTTGGCTGTGGCAGCATTTCTGCTAAATGATTTTACACTGTCAGGGGTCCTTATAGAATGAAAATTAGGTAGACCTATCCAATGATTCAAAGAATAATTCTTTCAAGTCAACTTAAATTGTCACTTACGACTAGGGGTTGCACGACTACTAATTTCTGCTAGTCGATTTCTTACCAAAACAATACTCAAGTTACTCGACTACTCGTGGTTCATGCTACTCTAAATGAAAAGATAGGAAATTAGTTATCAATAAATGTTTATTAATTCATAGCCTAATGCAACAATTACTTAAGTAGACTCTCAAAACATTATTATTAAGACATTACATATTGTAATTTTCATGTGACAGAGTAAAGCCAAATAAATAACCGTTCTTGCCTTTCATTTCAGACGCAATGTCCGCTTTTAGAGAGTCGTATTTGTGGCCAATTATTTTCCAGAACGGTGTAACTGGGTTCAAAAAAGTTGAAGTCCTGAAACTGCAGAGAGTGGTCTTATATCCTTTACTATAAAATCCACAAGTAAATCTGTTATTACCTGTCTTCTCCTCTCTGTAATCTGGCATTTACAGAATTCACCAATGCTCGTTTGCTTCGTGGTGTGCGTCTCACTAACATTTGCCTTTGTTGTTGGACGTTTCAATCGTAGATGGTTGTGCATAGCTGTCACACTGCTGTTGTATTTTAAAGTAGTCTTACGGAGTTGGCAAATTACGATATTTTTGTCATCCTTGATGAAATACTTCCACACATCTGATGTGTGGTGTCTGTTGGTGACGTTCGCCATTTTGAATTCATTTATGGTTAATGCACTCTCGAGTAGTCGATTGTTTTCGACAGCGCCGACTAGTGGTTGAAGTAGTCGACCTCTCGACTACTCGACTAGTCTATGCAAGCCCTACTTACAATGCAGATTTACTTCTGCAGTGTGTTGATTTAAGAATGAAACTGGATGTATAAGAAGAACAAGCTGTGGAACTATGGATGGGAGAAGGGGTTGAAAAATGTAATTGACAAAAAGGAAAGTTCACATCACTTTCACATGAAAGATTATAATGGGCTTTTTTCATTAACAATAATAATAATAATAATAATAATAAAAAATACTACCCTAACCCTATCCTAACCCTAACCCAAGGCAGGACTGGGCAAGGCAAACAGGATCAGGCAGTGCAAGACAGGACTTTAGTGGTACATTTAAAGATGAACTTGCACGCAATGAGACCAGAGCGCATGGAGAATAAGCGAATGCTCACACCATGTGCTCACAACTGAAGACAAACACAATGTCCGAACCCCGGACACAGAACCAAAACCAAATTAGACAGAAGTGCCGTAATCCGAACTCAGAACCTCAAGCTCACCATGACAAGACAATAGGAGTGTCCAACGCTATATCACGACCAATTCGTACGAATTTGTACGAGTGATTAAAAGGTGGCTAATTCGTACGAATTTGTACGATTTGTCTAAACCCACGTGATGGGTATGTTTAGGGGCGGGGTCAGGGTTAGGTCATTCGTACAAATTCTTACGAAATATAAACATTCATATAAAATATGTACGATTTAGCAAAAATCGTACTAATTCGTACGAGTGAGGTCGTACGAATTGTTACGAATTAGCCACCTCGTAAAATTCGTACGAATTGCCGTGAGATCGGGTTGGAGTGTCAGTGTCACCAAACCAAGAATAAACAGACAGAAGTGACAGAACCCTGACACCTAAAATAGGCCTACCAACAAAAAAGCATAAGTGAAATTTTATAGTTGGATTTGTCATAAGCTGTCATGTGCCTTTCATGGAACAGTACACTGTTATGTTGACTTGTATATATTCTGTTTCATTGACGTAGCATGTGTAGAAAGGTCCAAATGTGTAGATCTGGCTCATGAGGGTGGTTTGGTTGGATCGGAATGCATGGAATTGATTCCATGAAAATGACCTATTAATGGTCTTAAGAAGTTGTTGACTGTGATTTTGTAATGGTTTCAGACAGGGAGGTTTGTTTCTGTGATCCTCAGGCATAGCTGCTATCACTGGGTCTGTAGAACTAGAAACAGATGCGCATGGAGACCAACATATGCATATCTCTTATAAAGATATAACATATCATTTGTTTTTGGAAAGTTTCTACAGTAGGAATTCTTTTCATAATGCAAGTGACAACATTCTCATTATAAATGGTTATTATCTTAGAGAGGGATTTTCTTCGCTTTTACCACAAACAAAATAAAGTTTACTGAGAAAATGAAGCGAAAAGGCGATGGAATGTATGGGAGGTGTGCTTTTGGTTTTGGAGGGGAGCCATGATTGTCCCGTGGGGTTTGTTCTGGATGTGCGTTACAGTAGGGAGGTGTAAAAGAATGAGTTTGTTGTATTCAACAAGGCACCTGGAAAAGTAAGGTTGGGAAGAAGCAGATAACAAATCTTCGATTCTGGGTTATGTAACAGTCAAATTGTTGTTTTAGGGTGTCCTCTGTTCAGTATTCCTCCTGCCACTCACAACAGTTGTGCCTGGTGGACTTCAGAAATGAAGAAGCAGAGTTCATACTCGTTTTTGAGTCTAATATGAATATATGTTTATGCTATTTGATGTTTTATCAGATAGGCATAACATATTATTTTGGGAATAGAATTAGAACACACACACTCACACGTTGGGTTTTTATGGGGACAATGCACACACACACAAACACACGATAAAATAGACTTTAATAAAACACAAAGGGTAACAACACTACACAAACCATAAATGTTAGTGCAGAACAATAAAACTGAGGCAGACTAAGGGCTTAAATACGCAAAGGAAGACCATTAACAGAACAGGGAACAGGTGAGAGTAAACAGAAACCATGACAACTAATAATTAACTAGAACAGAGACAAAGAAAACCATGACTAGAAATGAAACAGAATAGCACAATGAATAAATGACTGTGACAATGGTAAGAATAAGAACACTTTATTTGACAGTGTCTTTGTTACAGGTTACATGTGCTTACCATAGTAATTTAAGTAAATTATGCATAATTATATACAACAAATTATTATAATTAAGAACAACACCTAAAAAACATGTATCTTCTCTAGTTCAGCTTTTGTTTGACCCAGGTAACACATTTTTAGCAATTGTACTCACTGAAAAAGTTCGGCGGTTTTTAGAACGGAGTGCCACTTCAAAGCATTGTTTTGGAAGAAGACTAGGATACACCAGAAACACAGTTTACCTTCGAAATCACAATCTCACCCCTGTTTGGGACCTCAATGAGAACACAATAAGCTTGAAGGAGGCAATAAAGATGATGTCTTCCTATGAAACTTCATCGGCTGGCTTTGCTGTAAAACATTATAATGTTGTGAAAATGAATGACTATTGAATATTTAGCCATATTTGTTTTATTTTTGTTCTGTTGATTTTCTTTTCTTTCTTTTTTCCCCCTTGACTCATCAGAGACGATGTGCTCACACAGGAAGTGTGTATAAATATATAGGCAGATAGGGTATCGTGTGTATATACAATCTTGGAAAAGTTAATAAACACTTGCATTACGAAACTGAATTGAAGGATGTCAACCCTGTAACCCTTGCTTATAGTAACCAGATGTGCAGCAGATTAGAGGCCCAATAGTGCCTTGCTCAAACTGATGCAGTAAATATCGGATGTGAATCTTAGAAAGAAATGCCTGGGGCTAAATTTCACTGCAAAATCTAAATTAAAAACAATAAATTATATTTTGCATACATAAAATTAAGCCTATTTATCAAGCACACCCCCCACCCTCCACATTCTCATTCTCATAATGCCAAAAAAGGAACAAAAAATCCCATCCCAATTCTATACAAATTATATTAAAAATGAATATCCTGATCCCAAACATACCCTAACAATACTACCGCAATGGTATATTTTTTCTTTGTATTATTGTGTGTGTGTGTGTAAGAGAGAGATTATTAGCATGCTAACACGTACTGCTAGCTACTTATAAGTAAGTAATATATACGTATAAGTGTAATAAGTACTCATTTAAAGTATTCTAAAGTGTACTATTTTTTCAAGGGAAGCTAAAAAATGTTGATGTGTGCGTAAATATTTTTTTTCACTGTTAAAACTGCAAGATTTGCTCTTACATGGCCTACATTCTTCATCTCTTTTTCTGCAGGTATGGTGTGATGCAGGCACTCAGGTGTTTTTCTCATATGCCGTGTGTCAAGGAGTCCTCACAGCACTGGGCAGTTATAACAAATACAACAACGACTGCTACAAGTCAGTAACCTCCTGCATTAATGTTCAACACCCCACCCATTTCACTCCCTGATTCATATACCAGGCATCTTTTATAAATGTGTCTATATTCTATGTTCCACAGGGACTGTATAGCACTCTGTTTTCTGAATAGCGGCACTAGCATCTTTGCTGGGTTTGTGGTCTTTTCTATTCTGGGGTTCATGGCCCATCAGCTAGATCTACCCATGGAAGAGGTAGTATCATCAGGTATACACTGCATTACCCTAGTACAAAAAAAAAAAAACGACACCGAAATCTTTTCAATACATTCATTCCATACTAAGTATCCTTCAAATCCATTAACATATTTATTGACATATTACTTAAGACTTACTTATATATATGGCCAGACCCTGTAGTGTATAATGGTCTCTTGCTATGTTGGTGATGACCACAAGAGAGCATCTCAGACCAACACTTGTGGCTTGCATAGTCTGAATGTTATTTTGGACACAAAATACTGATGTAATTCAAAAGAAAAATCTGATAAACAATTAAATTAATTAAAAATGTTTACTTTTTTAATATATAATTTGATGATTTTTTCTTTTTAATTAAAACATGCGTTAATAGTCAAAGTTATGAAACATGATTATGATTATTTTCTTGCAGGTGCTGGATTAACTTTCATAGCATATCCTCGAGCCCTCTCTCTGTTACCCGGACCTCAGTTCTGGTCTGTTCTTTTCTTTCTTATGGTACTCCTGCTGGGCCTTGACAGCCAGGTACAGTTATTCAACATCACTTATGCACATAATATATATATACACTCACCGGCCACTTTATTAGGTACACCTGTCCAACTGCTCGTTAACACTTAATTTCTAAGCAGCCAATCACATGGCGGCAACTCAGTGCATGTAGACATGGTCAAGACAATCTCCTGCAGTTCAAACCGAGCATCAGTATGGGGAAGAAAGGTGATTTGAGTGACTTTGAACGTGGCATGATTGTTGGTGCCAGAAGGGCTGGTCTGAGTATTTCAGAAACTGCTAATCTACTGTGATTTTCACGCACAACCATCTCTAGGGTTTACAGAGAATGGTCCGAAAAAGAAAAAACATCCAGTGAGCGGCAGTTCTGTGGGCGGAAATGCCTTGTTGATGCCAGAGGTCAGAGGAGAATGGCCAGACTGGTTCGAGCTGATAGAAGGGCAACAGTGACTGAAATAACCACTCGTCACAACCGAGGTATGCAGCAAAGCATTTGTGAAGCCACAACATGCACAACCTTGAGGCGGATGGGCTACAACAGCAGAAGACTCCACCGGGTACCACTCATCTCCACTACAAATAGGAAAAAGAGGCTACAATTTGCAAGAGCTCACCAAAATTGAACAGTTGAAGACTGGAAAAATGTTGCCTGGTCTGATGAGTCTCGATTTCTGTTGAGACATTCAGATGTTAGAGTCAGAATTTGGCGTAAACAGAATGAGAACATGGAACCATCATGCCTTGTTACCACTGTGCAGGCTGGTGGTGGTGGTGTAATGGTGTGGGGGATGTTTTCCTGGCACACTTTAGGCCCCTTAGTGCCAATTGGGCATCGTTAAATGCCACGGCCTACCTGAGCATTGTTTCTGACCATGTCCATCCCTTTATGGCCACCATGTACCCATCCTCTGATGGCTACTTCCACCATGTCACAAAGCTCTAATCATTTCAAATTGGTTTCTTGAACATGACAATGAGTTCACTGTACTAAAATGGCCTCCACAGTCACCAGATCTCAACCCAATAGAGCATCTTTGGGATGTGGTGGAACGGGAGATTCGCATCATGGATGTGCAGCCGACAAATCTGCGGCAACTGTGTGATGCCATCATGTCAATATGGACCAAACTCCCTGAGGAATGCTTCCAGCACCTTGTTGAATCTATGCCACGAAGAATTGAGGCAGTTCTGAAGGCAAAAGGGGGTCCAACCCGTTACTAGCATGGGGTACCTAATAAAGTGGCCGGTGAGTGTATAAATATATATATTTAAAACTTTAAGGTTGACCACATGTGTAAAGTGTTATATTTATGTCTTTTAAAGTTTGTGTGTGTGGAGAGTTTAGCCACAGCTCTCATAGACCTGTTTCCTGGAGTTCTAAGGAAGCGGCGAGAGCTTTTGGTGTTGGGAATCGCCGTCATCTGCTTCTTACTTGGACTGCCATTCATCACAAAGGTATGAAGTAGATAGATGGATGGATGGATGGATGGATATTCTCTAACTTTTACTCAACTTGTGCCATATTGTAGGGAGGAATCCATTTGTTCACTGTGATGGACACCTACGGCCCGAGTGGAATTAACTTGCTCTTTATCGCCTGCTTTGAAACGATTGTTGTCGCATGGGTCTATGGTAGGAGACATTACTTTCCTGTGAAATTCCTAGTATTTGACATAGAGTACAATACTCTGTACAATACTCTTTTTTTTTTTTTGTATTCTTATTGAACATCTTGTTTTTGTACATCACATTATGGAAGTAAAATGGTTTGAAAACTACATCCTTTACAGTGTATATCAAAAATAGCTTTTCTAAACTTGCAGCAAATACATAATTATCATGTTATGACTGATCATAATGTGTTACAATTGTTAGTGTTTATTGAACATTTACATATTCTTAAACAATTTTACAGAGTAGTTTAAGTTGAGTGAGTATATCTTTTAACCAACACACACATGTTGGGTTTCCATGTTTAATAGGCACTTTCCATAGAAATAATGATTTTTATCCGGTTCAAACTGTATATTCTATCCGCTAACCCTAACCCTACTCCTACCCTTAAACCTACCCATCACAGAAAACATTTTTACATTTTCAAAAAGCATCACTTAGTATCATTTTATAATGTTTTCTTCATGGGGACCAAAAATGTCCAAATGGACATTTTGTCCCCTTAACTTGGGTTTAAAAGGACAACACACACACACTCACACAACTAAAACTGTGTAATAACTGCAATAAGAAATACATTTTTCAAAAAGGGGTGTAAAAAACCGTCACACGAATGACTGGTTTGCAGGTGCAAACCGTTTCTACGACAACATTGAAGATATGATAGGATACGCACCATTCCCTGTGCTGAAGTACTGCTGGCTCTTCATTACGCCTCTCATCTGTGCCGTGAGTTCACTTTTTGTCTCTAGCACTCTCTCACTCTTCGGTAACGTTTTTTGTTTACTGTCCCGAAATCTGCATAGTTTTCTCATTATTTTACCATTGATTATTTCACGTTTCATTAGCGTTTCATTGGTATTTCACGTTTCATTGACTATTTCACGTTTCATTGTTTGAATTTTTTTTTTTTTTTTTTTTGTCTTCTGTCCTCTGTATCTTTTTTTTTTTTTACACATAAAAACGACTAGTGGCAATCTATAACTACATGCATTTAGATTTACTCATTTAGCAGAAACTTTTATCCAAAGCTATTTTCAAATGAAAAATACAATGATTCAGTGGTCATTTTGAGGCTGGTTCTGCAGAGCTCAGGCTTTTCAAGATCTTCAAGGTACTTTAACTATATAGTATCTGCAGAAGGTTGTATGTATGTTGTGCAGTTTATACTATGCACATTCACATACAACATAGGTAATTAACCATTGTGAATGAAGTTCTTTATTGAATATTTGAAAGTACAGGAATGCGTTTCTTTTTTGCCCTCAGTCTACTCTGCTGTATAGCCTGCTGGGTATATCTGTGTCTTCAGTTGATCAATTTGTGCCACACTGGAGTTACAAGTTTGCACCTCTACTCACAGTTATTCCTATGGTCTGCATCCCAATCTTCCTGGTCATCTCTTTAAGAAGGGTAAGAGAGAGCCACCAATCAATTCAACCCATCCGTTCATCATCCAGCCATGCATGCATTCATTCATTCATTCATGTTTCTCATTCAATTCCTTCTGTCGCAGCATCTGTTCTTCATTCTTAAGTACTGATATTGACTCATTCTCACTCCCAGCTCGTCACATATGGATGCTTGGTTAGGACCCCTTGGTTTCACTTTTTAATGCATAGGGTACCACTTTAGCGTCAATTTTCACTAAAGTAGTCCAGCTTAAGTAAGCTTAGTGATGGTTCAGGTTCATTTCTGTTGTAAAATGTTATTAATTTAGTTCATTTATCTATACAGCCGCTCTGGAGAAAACAGTTATGTCATAGTCCAGCTCAGTTCAGTTGTCATACAATTCACATTTCAATTTACATTTATGTGTATAGCGCTTTTCACAATACATATCGTTTCGAAGCAGCGTTTCAGAAAATGCATGTGTCGACATTACAATTTAGAGTGATCTGTTATCAGAGGAGACTATGTCCAAGTTGTGCATTTTAGAGCATATACAACGCATGTGAACGCCATCAGGTCACAGGTTCACGTTTAAAGTCTGTTTAGAGAGAACGCCGTCGTCTTAGTGGCCCCTAATGTAATAACAAATGATAATTTTGCTGGAAGTGAATCAATCACAACTAACTTTAGCTGGAAATAACATTACTCAAAAATCGCTATAAAGCCAGAACAATCTCTGTTACCGTAAATTGTATGTTTATCTCTGTAAAGCTGCTTTGAAACAATCTCCGTTGTTAAAAGCGCTATATAAATGAAGATGACTTGACTGGTTGTGATGAAATAAAGTATTGTCGGCATATGAGTATTATCGGCATAATAGTGGAAACTAATTCCATGTTTTCTTATAATATTACCAAGTGGCAGCATATTGAAAATAGCAGAGGGCCTAACACAGATCCTTGCGGCACTCCATAATTTACTGACGTTATCTTAGGTTTTTCCCTTTTAAAAAGACAAAATAACAGTCTGATAGGTACGATCTAAAACCTTAATGCCTGTCCCTGAATACCAGTGTCATTTTGTAGTCGATCTAAGAGTATTTTATGATCTATAGTGTCGAACGCTGCACTAAGATCAAGTAAAACTAGTATTGAGATACAGCCTTGGTCAGAAGCTAAAAGTAAGTCATGTGTAATTTTAACGAGCGCAGTTATCATACCGCGTATCATACGAGTACTTCATAAAGCCCGGATGATCCAAACGAGCCGTTCGTTGTAGTTCTTGGAAAGCGGATTCTGTTAAATCAAATATCTCCCTTTGGAGTGGACTTTGAGCTCTAAAGACCTTGCAGATCTTTTTTTATGCTCAGACAGCAACATTACACACTAGCTAAAGTTGAAAAAGTGAAAAGGCATAATAGTTTCCTTTAAGGAAATGAATGTTCAATCTCCTTTCCATCTCCTCAGGGTCATGACATCATCACCCCCTCTACTGACCTGAAGCAGCTCCGACCAAACAGTCCACGCCTCACACTGTTTAACCGTGTAATCATTAAAGCACAGAGATCTCGACACGTTCAGGAAGATGGAGCAGAGAAAGCAAACACAGAACACACCAGTGAAGTTTGAGAAGGCAGAACAAGATAGGACTTTATATATTATAAAAAGCCATAACATATTATTCATATTAAATAATATTTTTGACTTGAATAAAATTAGTTAATTTAAATATAAACTATAAATTATTACCTGACAAAACAATTGTATTGCAGTGTATTAGATTTTCTATATGAAATATCACTTAGGATGTCAAATGAACAAAATTAGCTAATTTTTTTAGGTTTTTAATTATTATTATATATATTATGGTGTTTTTAGGAGAACTAGAACTGTTTCCATGAGTTCAATTGGAGGGTTACTGCAGCCGAGGCAATTTAAAACCATTAAATATATATTTTGAAAAATAATGTTCAGCCTCAGGTATTCAAGATTGGAGTGGAGTAAAATAAAGTGCTAAAAAAACTGTGCCAAAAAGAAATATTTCCGTTTGGGGTTTGACTATTGAAGCAACATTACTATATTCTATATTACTATAAGTTTTAAAATTACCATTCTATGCAGTACAAAACTTTTTAGTTATTGGCAGCTTTATATATGAAATTTCAAGTGATATAATTGCATGTTCATAGATTCTAGAATTCATTTTAGTCTAAATGTTAAATTATCTTGTTCTAATTTATCTGTTTACATTATCTTGTTATATTTGTATATGCATTTTCTCATTTGTCTCTGTCATTATATTGGTGACTGAAGCAATATAAAATGGTCTATACCATTTATATAATATCTGACACATTTGAAATGTTTCCTTTAATTAAAATGTATTTCATCCTGTTGCATTGCTTTTTTTTTACAGTATATATATGATTTTAAAAAATGTTTTTACTTCAACTGTATAAATAATTTGTTTGATTTAAGACTTTTTTCCCATCTATTCTTTGTTGCTACTATATTATTGCACTATATAAGTGGACACCCCCTCCAAAAACTCTAACTAACTAAGTGATAAGAACAGTTTTAAATACAGGTGCACAATCAATATATTGCTTGAATATTTGTTAATCATAATTCATGTACTGGCAGTTCAATCTCTTTTTCTTCCAGTTGGTCATTAGCTTTCCTCATTTGAGCCTCTCATCCATGTAATCTGAAGGGACATTCAATTAACAGATAATGTCATGTGATGGCTTCGGGGTTTATCATGCCTGTCATAGCACAAAGGTGGGGCTTAATGGAGGAATTTACTCTGTGGACCAATAGGAGGCGGCTCTCAATGGGATGAGTGTCTAGGATGGTTTCTGGATATTGTGAGAAGTTCTTAAAAGGTTAATTATTAGCACTACAAATAGTCTATATATATTTTAGTCCTGATATATAACCATTAATGTTCCAATAAATTTTACAAACACCGTCTACATTTTGAACAGTATATCAGTTGTTTCTTCCTTTATAACCCAACAAACTTTTTTTCTTTTTGAATAAATTGCTTAAAAGGTGTGATTGTGCTATCTTTCTTTTAAATAAATTATTGCTGAACTTTATTTTTCTGTATGTGTGCTTAGGCTTTAACTTATACTTAAGAGTACTTAAGTTAAGTGTACTTAAGCAAGATATATAAGTTGATATACTGTAACTTCATATAACAATGTAGTTGATATAACTACTTGATATGGGTTAAGATTTAGGGGTATGATCAGGTTTAGTACCTAGTTATTAAGTATTATAACTAGGACTGTAAAAAAAGGGTTTCTTTTCATTTTAAGGTGAAACAGGAACATGTGACACTAACCGTGACACTAATTATACATTTAAGTGCTGAGTGATATTAATGAACTACATGTACTTACTATAGGGTTAGGATTAGGGTTTTGATTGGTTTAGGTTTGATGCATGTAATTATGCATAATTTATAGTTATTACTACAGTAACTACACATGTAACATATGTGACAATGACACTGTAAAATAAAGTGCAACCAAAATGGCACTTTGTTTCTTATTTTTTATCATAACATTTTTTGAGGCTATTATTTTTGTGTACTATAATGCCATAACGCTTGCAATGTTATTACTGTATACACACAAATACATGACTTGTTTTTCACTTTGAAAAATTGTATACACTTAACAGTATTTTACTGTCCCATTAGATCTATTACAATTTTTGTAAGGAAACTATAAAATAAGAATTATAAAGTGTTTTACTGTAGCATTTTTACAGTCTTTTACCATTTTACAGTGTGCACAATAGTTAAAGACACGTAATATACAGGAATGATAAGACTATAAAATGCATTGATCGCTCTGGATCTTTGTCCGAATCCTCTGCTATCTCCGTGTATTGTACGCCAAATGCAATTTCTATGACCTCAATCTGCAGTGAAAAATTCGTTTTCTTTAAGCTACACTTGAGGGCATCATTCTCTTTCCAGACAGCATACATTTTCTGCAAGAGACCTGATCACAAAGTGCAGCAAGAAATTGGAATTCCACTCAATGAGGCTCTTAAGAGGGACAGTTTGCTGAAGGTGCAAAATTGCTGCAGGGTTTGTGGCAAATCACACAACACTGTCATCTGAGCATCTCTCATTCCCTCCCTCTTGTCTCTCAAATACGCACGCTCTACCTTCTCTCTGCAGGTCCTGTGATGTAGATTCATGTCCCCTGTCACAGTATTAAAAGATGAAATTCCTCAAAGTTGTCCTGCTATCTGTGCATGCCAGGGAACCATGCAGCTCAATAACCTCTGCATTGATTTAACACATCTGCAGGCGTGACTTGCATTGCCACACATGCACAATGAGAAGCTGTACACAACCTCTAACACTACAAAAAAAAAAAAAAAAATCGTCTTCCCAATAAGTATTTGTGTCCAATTATGCAGTACATTTTTTTTAAAATCCTAAAAATGAGATAAATATGCTAGACAAGCAACACAATCAATTTGAAAAAACATTCCTCTACTGTAAGTACGTTCATATACTGTACGATTCACTGCAGTTTCCAGCTGAAATTAACATTAGTGCCAGTACAGACTGATCTCATGAAATGGCGTATCACACGCCAATTCGTATTTCCATTTTTGGCGTGCTATCAACACGCATAATCGCTTTTCAGCGTGTTTATCAACGCCGTTGACTTAACGTTACATTACTGTATATATAAATATATGACCTACCCCGGCCCAACCCCGTCCCTAAACCTACCCGTCACTGGGGTTAATACCATTTATGAGTCTTTCCCTACCATCCTAGGAAAAAAAATATCGCTCCCCAGATGTAGATCTACATTTTGCTTCGTTTCGCTCGGACATTTAACGGCGTGTACCGTAAAACTTCAAATAATAGCCGAGTCCCAAATAGACGCCTGTCTCTTTTACACGCCTGGTGTGGCTGCAGGTTTGGGTAAATAAAGGCCGGTCTCAAACAGAGGCCGGGTCTGTTTTTTTAGTTTCGGGTTGTATTTAACCTTCTAAAACCCGTCAGATCGTCCGCTTTTTGTCGGCCGAAAAAGCAAATTTGTGTCCCGCCAAGCCAAAGCCTTTTTTGATCGGTGAGTGATGTAGCGCTTGACAGGGCGCATAACGAGCAGAGAGCGCGCTCCGACCGCGCGCGCGCACTCTCACGTCTTCAAACAAAACGAGCGCTGTCTTGCTCTCTCTCCCTCGCGCATATTAATCAAAATCAATTGACACGATAGTAAAAGGTCGGGAAGACAGCAGTTTCACGTGGAGCATTAGAGACTCTAGGCTTACACTCAATGAACAACATCTCAACACTAAATTATAAAGGCCGGTCTCATATAGACGCCTGTCTCAAATATAAGCCGGTGCAGTTCGACGATTTGGGAAAATAAAAGCCCGGGCTATTATTTGAAGTTTTACGGTACATACACGCGGAATCACTCGGACATTTAACGGCGTAGACATACACACAAAATATGACGGTTCGTTTCGGCGTGGACATACACGCGGATAGCTCAAAATGCGTATAGATAACACGCCACTTGACTTGAAAGTGGCGTGTATGTTTACGCAAAGTCATGATGTCATGTTGCCCAGTAAAACACCAACAACTTTTGCTTTTTTTCCCCAGACAAATTATGGGGATGGGGTGGGGGGTTGATTGTTTATCTGTGTACTTCTCAAACCTTTCAGACCAAATAAGTACCTGAGCCTGGAGGTCAAGCTGTGACATTTAGATCCTCTATTGTTCAGAAGTCTTTCCATCTTTCCATCATTCCGTCCCACAAACCAGAGTTCAGAGATCAGCGCCTTGTTCTTCATTCTCATGGAAGTGACAGAACACAAGGACTTTAAAGTGTGAATGCACTTTAAATAGAACATTTGTAACAAATACAGAAGCAAACTGAACGTCCACATTGGCTGTTCATGCATTACAAGATGTGAACAAGCAAACTGAATGGGTAGTGCACCATTTTTGGTTGTATGTTAATAGTTTCCCCCTATGTAATCCCGTTTTGTTGTCACCGTGAGCCTCGCAGGTTCATTGTGGGGTGTAATTAGCCTCTATTGATTTGAGGGCTGCATACAACAAAGTGATGAAAACCAACTCTGACAACTCCAATTCTGTGCCTGTCGCTTAACGATTGCAGGCAATGACAAACCTAATGTGAGTAACCTCTGATTTGCTGTTGACATTGTGGCTGCATTGGGATATAAGTCTTTTCATTCCCAAGAAAAGTGACAAAGAGCTGTTGACATTGTGGCTGCATTTGGATACATGTCTTTTTATCCCCAAGAAAAGTGACGAAGAGTGTGAATTAACATTGTACGTCATCCAAAATATCTATTGCCACTTACATTTACTTTAAGTTGTCTACTGGCAATGAAATTTCCTAAGTCGTTCTTCTCTTAGCGGCCAGTTTTGATAGAGACACAGAAACTACTAAAATATGCCCTTGAAGTAACTCAGTGTCTTGGCTAGCCCCATGATATATGAAGATTCAATTACAAATACATTGATGTAACACTCTTAATAGCTTTTCCCTGTCGTCACACAATGCATCAGGCTCCCACCCTTTAAGCCAACCAGAAGAGCCTCTTTAACCTTTAAAGATTTTACATTCACATGCAGTCAGTTTGACGTAAAATTATAGTGGTTGGCAATAGACATTGACATTGAAGTTGTGTCATTGCTTGGCGTATATTATATAATTCAATCAAATAATGCAAAAATGGGCTAATAGAAAAAAAAAATACCACACCAAAAGATTTCAGATTGACTCCTAC